CTCGAATCGATCGATCTCCACGCAGAAAACCGAGCACATACTTTCCACCTCTCTTGTTCTTGCGACATGGCTGGCCAGGCTTGGTATACCCATCCTATTGGTATGGGGTATCCGTGTACATCAACCACTACATAAACATCCCTGGTGGGTTTGGAGGACAGGACAGTATTACATCGCGTCTGGGAAGATAGGCCCTAAGCTTTTTTGTTGATAAGGAAAAACTAACTAAGCTTCTTCAGAGGCATCGGCCGGCTTTTCCCCTCCTGCTACTACCTCCTGCTGCTGCTGCTTCTGCTGTTGCTGCTGCTGTTCCTCGGCCTCCTCCCGCTGCAGTTGCTCGCGCTTGAGCTGCTTCCTTCCCTTGGGCTTGTCAGTTTGCATGGGCTGATCGACGCGGTGCGGGGGCCACTTGTCGCGGCATTTCTGCTCGTCTTCCTCGGTCCACTCGCGCGGCAGGACGGCGAAGACCAAGTAGGAGGTGTGGGTCTTCAGGTTGTCTTCGGTGCGATGGACGAGACGCCCTTGTTTGTACAGCGGGATGTTGCTGGAGGAGGAGGTGGTGGGGGGCGCAGCATGTTCCTCCTTTGCGGGGACAGCCGGTCCCGAGGACGCGGGCAGAGGGGTATTGGCGGTGGTGGTGCTATTCAGAAGGTCATCCTCCTCCTCCTCCTGCTGCTGCTGCAACTCGCGATACTTGCGGGAGTGTTCCTCGACGTGGCGCATCTTGGCGACGGCCTCGTCGACGGACTTGGGGAAGACGACGGCGCCGCGCACCTTCTCGTACTCGAGCCCGACCTTCTCCCGCTTCACGTCGATCCGGTGGTTGTTGACCTCCACCATGGAGATGTCCAGCCACGACAGCTGCCGCAGCACGCTCACCGTCCGTTGCACCTGCTCCAGGCAAGGGGAGAATGTGCACAGGTAGACCGGCGACGTCGGGTCCAGCGGCGACTCCGCGCCCGAGGCCGGGTGGCGCACGAGGTGCTTCAGCGCGAGCCAGGGCGCTGGCAGATCCAGGAACACCGCGTTGGCCTTGGGCGAGGTCCCCGTCTCCGCGTCCCCGACGAGGAACCCGTCCTGGTAGACGTCCCGGTGCGTGACGTGCACCAACCCGCCCAGGCCGTGTTCCTTGAGCTCTTGCCGGACCTTACCGACGCGCTGTTCGTGGAATTCGAAACTGGAGACTTGGCCGAGGCGTTTCTTGTTGGGTAGTGAGGTGGAGGAGGAGGATGAGGATGAGGGGGGTGGTGTCGTGTCGTCTGCTGTTGTGGTTGTGGGGTATCCGTTGAAGACCGCTCGGACGGCCGCGTGCGTGAACGAGCCGCTGCCCGCGCCGGCCTCGATGATCGAGCTGCCCGGCCGTGCGCGCAGCCGGTGCAGGATGTAGCTGTAGTCCGGGGTGTAGACGACCTGGGTGCGGTGCGGCAGGGACATGGTCCACAGCTCCGGGGTCGGGTAGACGAGGTGCAGGAATCCACTGGCCGCGGCGACGGCGGCCTGCGGCGAACCGGATGGGCTGTCGTTGCCCCCCTCCGCCGAGTCATTGGTGGTGAGCTCGTCCGCTTTGCGCTTCAGCTGCCGGTTCTTCTTCTGCGGGCCGCGGCCGCGGCGCGAGCCCGTGTCGACCTTCGAGGCGATGATCTGCGAACCCCATGGTTGGCCGGTGAGGGTGGTGTGCGGGAAGGAGCCGAAGCGCGTGGTCGTCACTTTCCCTTCCTTGTAGCCGGCGTTGTCTTCGTCGTGGAGCTGGAGGACGGTCGGGATGGCTTGGTCGCGGCGGAGGTGGAGGAGGGCAAGCTGGTTGAGCTGCGAGTGGGAGCCCGGGGTGAGAAATGGTGAGGCCATTTTCTTTGGGCTGAATATGTGGGTGACCGCCGAGGAGGAGCGAGGATTGACCTTGGGATGCGATGGAAGTGTCCCCGTCGCCGAATTGAGGGCTTCAAGGCTACTTTCGAGCTTCTTCGACTTCTTCAACTTTCTTTTGCGACGGCGGCGTCACTTGCTGAAGATCCTCCGTTCTATACTCGATTGGGATATTGGCTTAGGGCTTAGGGCTGTAGGTGTGGAAGGCGGTGAAGGGTGCAGAGGAGACGGCGCTGATTGGTTCCGTTCGTCTGTCGGCTGTTTCTACTCCATCGTCAACAAGTTTCGCTAGGTATCAAGAACGTTCCTATAGTTCAGAGGCTCTGGATAATGGGTTGCATATTTGTTCATATCTTGAAGTCTATGCTCAGTACTACCTCTTGCTATCTGAATCTCGAGAAATTGCCCCGAAGGGGAGGGGCTGTGATCTCGGAGATTCATATCCATCATCTGATGAACTCGTCCATCACATGCTGCAAACTCCCCCCCCGAAAGAGTCGATAACATGCCCATGAATACTGGGGTCAGGAACTAGAAACAACATACCAAGAACGTCCGGGGTCAAGAAGGTCTGGCTTGGCCTGGACTGTTTGTGCTAATCAATTCAAAATTGGTCATGCATCCATGCTCACTGGCCTTTGTTGTCGCCTCTTTCTATTACTGATCATTAACCTCGGGGCGCTGAACCTCGGCAACTTTGCTCTTCCCCACAAGGGGTCTCCAACGTCTTAACGCGGCTTTCCCCAGACTATCCCCAGCTATCCAAGACCGTTAAATTTCGGATCCCCTTAGAAGATAGAGATATTTGGTTACAGTCCTTACTCGGTGTTTTCTCGCGTCATCTGAACCCATCGCAGCATTTATCCCATAACACTTTAGCCGGTGGAATCGGTCGGCCGTCAACATGCCTTTCAACACCCTTCTTACCAGGAAACTAGGCATTACAGGTACGTCCAGAATCAACAGACTGTCTGGCTCACCTGCTGATTATTTCAAGTCCCTGTTGTCCAGGGAGGTATGCAATGGGTTGGATACGCTGAGCTCGCGGCGGCAGTCAGCAACGCAGGCGGTTTGGGAATTGTACGTATCCGCGATCGCCTCAAAATCAGAATACGAAACCAAGAAAAGGCTAACCCATGGAGAACCTACTCAGCTCACTGCCCTCACACAACCCACCCCGGAAGACCTCCGCAAGGAGATCCGCAAATGTCGAGCCATGACCAAGAACCCCTTCGGAGTCAACCTGACCCTGCTCCCCGCCCTCGTTCCTCCCGACTACGCGGCCTACGCCCAGGTGATCATCGATGAGGGAATCAAGATCGTCGAGACAGCCGGAAACAACCCGGGCCCTGTGATCCAGCAACTCAAGAAAGCCAACATCATCGTCCTGCACAAGTGCACGACGATCCGCCACGCCAAGTCCGCCATCAAGCTGGGCGTCGACTTCTTGTCGATCGACGGATTCGAGTGTGCGGGCCACGTCGGCGAGAATGACATCACCAACTTCATCCTCCTCAGCCGAGCGCGCCAGGAGCTCAAGGTGCCGTTCATCGCCTCCGGGGGGTTCGCCGACGGACAGGGGCTGGCGGCGGCGATGGCCCTCGGAGCGGAGGGCATCAACATGGGAACCCGCTTCATGTGCACGGTCGAGGCGCCCATTCATAAGAATGTGAAAGAGGCGATTGTCAAGGCGGATGAGACGGACACGGCGTTGGTGATGCGCCGCTGGACGAACACGACCCGTCTGTTCGGGAATAAGGTCTCCAAGGAGGCTCTGAAGGTGGAACGGGAAAGCAAGACGGGCGAGTTCAGCGAGATTGCCCCCTTCGTGAGTGGCAAACGAGGTCGTGAGGTGTTCCTGACCGGTGATGTCGATTTTGGTGTATGTTGTTCCTCTGCCACCCTCTCTCCTTGCGGTCTTCGGAATCTCCTGGCCTCCGGCTAACTTTATCTTAGGTATGGACTGCCGGTCAAGTCATCGGTATGATCCATGACATCCCGACATGTGCTGAGCTTCTCGAGCGAATCGAAAAGGAGGCCGTCCAGGCGTTGGATCGGGTGAGGTCGTTGCACACAGCAACGGCCCAGAGTAAGCTGTAGAAGAGCCAACCTGATTGCTGACTGGACGGATCGAGAGGGTGCTACAGTACACGCGGGATATGTATTACTTTTAGTTCTTTATGTAAGGAATTAGACTTCATCTCCGTTTTTTTTTTCTGCGGTATAGTCTTTTTTTCCCGTCATGTATACACAGGCGTGCTCACCCTTGCAGAGCGATGCGCTCTGTCAAGGGATGATGGAGGAAGGGGTGATGCTGAACGAAACAAAGTGTCTCGCCCTCGCCCATCACCCTGCGACCAGTCAGAAATAGCACGATGGTGCCAAAACGTTCTCCTTGATCAACACATGATGCATACCCCGCGGTGATGCAGCTGGGCCCTCTCCTTACATGCCCCTCCCAATACGCCGGAGGATTGCGATCACCAGTCTACTGTACTCCGCATCAGCATCATTGTATGGTCTTGGAAAACGCCGACCTAGCACAGAAGAACTGCAGAGCTGCTGGCGGGTATACCGGGTAACGAGGTTACAAAGCAGCTGCACTGAATCACCACTCGGGATACTGGACGGCTATCATGATCTTATTCTGGACTTACCCTCCTTGCAGCTATTCAGTCAAGTCAAGGTCTAGACTAGACGTTGTGATACTTTGTACTATGTCCGGTTCGCTGACTAGAAGCTCGTACGGATTGATCGTCTACTCGCAATGAAGCCTCTTGGGTATCTGAGACCCGGCGAACTAGCCTCCACTATAGTGGCATCACGATGCTATCACCACCTTACCAATATTTGCAGCAGGGGCACACTCTACTCGACAAGACCTGTATCTCGCCTATCGCAATCACACCCTCATATAGGGGTCAATGCAAGAGTTATCTTGACCTTCAAAACCCCCAGCGTCCAGTAATCTAACCCAACTCAATAAATCCTCCTATGACCTCAAGACAAAAGATCGAGTTTGGAACTTTATTCCCTCCCCTCCCCTCCCTGTCCCGGAAGTATCAATCTCCCCGACAACGACCACAAAAGAAAGAAAGGATAAACCCAAAATCAGCATTGAGACAACAAGTCCCAGCGGAGTCGGTAGCAAGTGACCAGAGCCCGACGAGAATCACGAAGGAATACTTCAACAGCAACAATCCCCCACCTCAGAATAATCATGACAAGATCAAGCGTGAACTCCGACCTCATGCGTCGACCCCGAAACATGGGGGTTCTCTCCACGCTCCTCCTGCCCTGCATCCAGGTGCGCAAGCTGCGACGCTCGCGCCGCCAACGTGATCACCATACCTCGTGGTCCTGCGCGGGAATCCCCGAGTTTGAGGAGCAGCACCAGCACCAGCAGCAACTTCAGGGAACCACCGAGAAAGAACTTCATAACCAAGACACCGAAGGGTACACGGAGCTTTCGAGCTTCCCCGAGAAACCACAACAAGCCGCAACAACAGCAGCAACAACAACAACGCTGACGCACACGAAGTCCATTCGCCTGGTCAGCTGTGCGGACTCGGAATGCTCGACGCTGGGGCCGGACGATGGTCCGATTCTGGAGAAGGATGACGAGGCCGGGGACCAGGAGAGGGAGGATTTCCTGGCGGGCAAGGAGAGCGCGTCCGAGAATGGGAATGCGACTATGTTGTCGTTGCTGTCGGATGAGGAGACGGATGTGGAACAGTCGAGTGGTGGCGGCAGTCCGCCGCTGGTGCAGAAGGTCATTGCCATGGAGGTGGTCCCGTCTTCACGGCCGCCATCGCGCGCTGGCGCTGGTACTCCAAAAAGCAAAGATGATCTTGATCTGGAGCTGGCGAGCCGTCGGGTCCCCCAAATTCCAGCGGCTGATCGACGGCCCCGGCCGGCGAGTATGGAGGTTCACTCTTCTACCGGGGGCGCGCTGAAGCTTCCCGAGATCAAGAGTCGGATGATCGACGATATTCCGGAGGATGTCGAGGGGGAGATCGTCGGCGTCAAGGTCCGGCCGTTGAGGCAGGCTGCGAGGAAGAGTGCGGTTCTGAAACCGACGGTTCAGGAAGAGGAGGAGGAGGAGGAGGAGGAGGATGAAGATGACAAGAAACGCTCCTCAACCTGGCGACTCAGTCAACGCAAGTCAATGATCGAGCTTTTCAGTCTTCTTCAATCCACCGCAGCAGCCGTCGCCGCGGCCCCGAAGTTCTCGAACCTCAAACTACCTCTCACTCAGAGGTCGCCCTTCCGCTTCTCCACCAACGCCGTCGTCGATGAATCGCCCTCCTCGGTATACTCCACCGCAGCCACCACAACCTCACCATCTCGATCAGCAGCAGCACCACCACCCACAACGCCAACCAAGAAAACCAAGCTCCCCTCCCCAACACCACCCACGCCTCCCCCGAAATCCCCCAAACAACTCCTCCAACAACGGCCCCTCCCGCAGACCCCGCAACGCAAGCCCCGACACAGCAGCTTCCAAGAGCAAATCTCACCCCCAACGGTAACCTACCGCACCACTCCAAGCCCAAGTCCCACCAAGAAACAACGCCGAATGGGCACCGTCCTCTTTCCTCTAACCTCCTCCTTCCGTCCCAGCGGTGGTAACAACAACAACAACAACAACAACAGCTCAGACGTGACGACGATTCCGACAACCAACCCTCCCTCCCCTTCCCGTCGTCAGTCTCATCTCCAAAAAAATGCACAGACTCTTTTTTGCTAGCCACGGAGTTCGGGGTACCGGTGCAGGGGTTCGGGTTCTCTTTTGTTGGTGTCTATGGTCTATCTCGGGGGGGTTGGTCGCTTCTTTATTGAGGGCTTTGTTCGGCTTCTGAGGACTTTTCTGTTACTTGTAACCCAAGTTTTCCCCCCTGTATCACTTTTGGGTTTTCTCTTCTCTTCCATGGTGTATTTACTTTCTTTGAGGTGATTGTATCATCTGTTTTTATGGGGGTGTCTACTTTCTTTAGCTGTGTGTGTGTGTCGATTAGTTCCGGGCCTGATTGTTAGTTATTTGTTGATCGAGTCTGGGGTGTACCTTCTAGGGTTCTATTTCTGTGACAGTTGCTGGGTAGGATGACTACGTATCAAATACTACACCTTGCTCCCTCTAGGTCTGAAGATGGAATGGACTGAATTGAGTTGGGAGAGAGAGAGAGAACAGTACGGACATGGCAGGAGCTTGGAAGTTTAATCATCATCATCATCATCATCATCATCATCATCATCTATCTGTTTCTTGTATACTACCACATGCACCTTCATTGATATCCACGCAGGTAGCTCGGCGGGATCATCAAATCCCTGAACCAAGACACCTTCTTCCAAAGTTTACTTACTGTATTTGAGCTGTGGTCCTGCACACGTACAATGGAACACGACTGACTCGCAACTCGCAATTCACTGCCTACTTTCCTACTCGATGATCGACCTCGATAGGAGTTTCCGTAGGATAGGGCCGACCTGCGGGTTCGGCTTTGCCTCCCGCTAACTTATGTTACCAGCCAGCCTTTGATATGCGCCGAGAGCCTCGGTGATCCGATAATCAGAGCTAAGCCTATGCAGGCAGCGTGCGTGCAGGGTTTGTGGGAAAGGGTTTAGTGAGAGGGATCCTGAAAAAGAAGGCAGTGGAGTGGTTAAGGTTTCTTTTTCAGGGGAATGCATACGGAATAAGAGCGTGGGTTGTTGTTGTTGGTGTGGTTCTGTGTAGAGGAGCGGGTGAGTAAGGGGGAGGTACTACTGCTACTGATGTTAGGATGCTATGTGATTTGGCTTGGTGGTACATGGGGGGGCCAGGCCGGGGCGTGTCTTGTGGGTAGGGCTCTGCTGTGAATGGTGGCTTGAAGGTAGGGTAGTTCAGTTCGGTGGTTGAGGATGGTTCGTCGGGGGAAAGTTTACCGTTCTACCTACCTAATAGAGTACCCGCTCAGTTTAAGTGGTCATTCTATCTCAAATAAGTCAATGGGTGAGCGGGAGTTTTAGTGAGGGTAGGTGAAAATGAGATCAGCCCGGGGAATTATAAAGGGAGAGGTGGAATGTTAGTAGTGATTGAAATTGCAGAGGGGGATGACAGATTATCCAATATGCCCAAATGGTATGGACAACTACGAGATAGAGGATACAAGTGGAAAGAATCAGGTAAAGCAAGTCTAATGCATTGAAGCTATATGCCACGACACCGGCGCTGGAGCACCGGGAAATGCACAACTAATGATCAGATCATAGTTCCAAAAAGCAAAAAACACGAATCTTCTTTCTCCGAGAGTGCCACAGGCGCACAATTAATGGTACATCATCTGCTCAAACAGGAGAACACCCGCAATCCTCCAAGACCGGAAAATCACAGGGCGACCTGTTTTCCTAGCCCCGATCCATGGCCCCGAAGGGCTTGACGAATAGTGGCCATAAGCAAAGACTGAACCCGCTTACAAGATAGAGCCGAGGGCAATGCAGGGCAGGGCAACGCCGATGAGGGAGTCGCTCTGACGGAGAGGTTAGCAGCTGATATGGGCTGAGGGAACGGCGGAAGACACTTACGGCGTCCGAGGGGGAGCCCTGGCAACAGGCGATGTTCTGCTTGCACTGCTGGTTGACAAGATCCTGGAGAGGGATGCCAATGATGGGGACTGCGGGTTGTTAGTAAGGCTCCGATGTAGCTATTCAAGAGAAACGTACTCTGGAGATCGAGCTTGGAGCACTGGTCGAAGAGACCGAGACCCTCAGAGCCGGAACCAGTACCAAGGAGGTTACCGAGGGTACCAGCGAGGATACCGTCGTCAATGGTGGTGGTGTCACCGGCGTAGGTGGCCTTGTTGCAGCAAGACAGCTGAGCCTGGTCACCACACTTGGCGGAAGCCTGCTTGACGGTCACGTCGTCAGGGACGGGGAAGCGGACATCGCTGTTGCCCTTGTTGCCGTTGCCGTTGCCGACACCAAGGTTGCCGTTGGCTTCGGGCTTGCTGGGCATGGCAGCGACGGTGGCAGCGAGGGCCAGAACAGCGGCGGAGATGGTGAACTTCATTGTGACTGTGGGGTTGGATTTGAACGAGAGAGTGAACTCGGATGAATTGTATGTATAAAGAACGGTAGGTCTGTAAGAGACTGGAGGGAGAGAATGCTCAAGAGAGTGATTGTGTGATGATGAAAAGAATCGACTGGAGGGCAACTTTCACCTCCCTTATATAGACTTTCGTGGAGGCCCTCGAGCTCGAGGTCCGTACACTGTCGAGCCTAACAAACCGGTGTCCTGCACAGCACAGCTGCTGCTGCTGCTGTTGCATCCTCCTCAGCATGCCCCTTGTGGAATGCAGAATGCAAGGACGTGTTCGCCGTCCTCGTTCCTGAGGATCCATACTTGGCTCGGTCCCCACTCCTTGGGCCAAGAGCTCCCTCTGCTCCAGCAGACGGTATGGATCTGCCCTAGCTATCGCCTCTGGTTGCTTGCAGCCAGCCAGCCGGTACTGCCGCGATGGTTTCCAGCTCAGACTCGGCGCCTTTGCAGGATAACTGGGGTACATTGCAGCGAGGCCAATGTCTCATTCCTCCTACCCATTCAAGTCGATCGTCATACAATCTCTTGCTAGCACACGTTTGAAGGTGCCATGCTTATGCATTTCCCTTCGTCAAGATTCTTACCCTTCCTCGTTAGCTCACAAACAACCACCCCGACCCTGGACTCTCAGCAATACCTCGAGAACCCGATGGCAGCCACTTTCCGCCACCGTATCTTGTCGTATGCCCCTTGCCACAATCCCTACGGCCCCAGTCGTCCCTTCTCGTCGCCCTCACGCCTGACTCCGAAGACGCTCGTGCGGTATGCGGGTGGCGCGGCAAGCATTGTTGGGCTGGGGTCGACCCTCGAGTAAGGTTGCAGGGCATATGCAATAGCATGCTTCGAGCTGCAAGGGGTGGGGAGGTGTGGATCAACGATCGAGGGTCTGTCAATCAATCCCTTTCCTCCTTGTTGTTCCCAAACACATACCCGGAGCTTGATGTCCATGTGGGCGGAGAGAGAGAGGGGGGGGGGGGGGCTCTGTAGCGGTGGGAAAGCGCAAGGGGCACAAGATGACTAGTTGCTACCTAATTTCCGCGTGCAAGGACAAAGTAAACCCTGTTCGCGGAATTTCTTGCCCGTGCCCGTGAACAATCATGTTTTGATTTGTGTTTCGGAAGGAATAGTGACTGTGCAATCCTTTCCTTGGAATTTGGCTCTTTCGGAACAAAGAGACCTGGACCTGATTGTCATGGGCAGCGGAACTCGGTTTCATTACTGGATTTGAGACACATGACGAGGCCGGATGGTAGATCTTTGTTTGCGGTATCCATCCGTTGGTTGGCTGCTGGCTGCTCTGACCGCAGGATGGCTCATACTTGGGCTGAGTTGGTGAACGTACGGGTTGCAAGTTGGCGTTCAGCGGTGTATTCGATCTTGATTGTGGTGCAGTGCAGATGCTGGTTTGTTGTTCGATGCGGTTGGCGAACATGTGATCCTCTTCTTTTTTCCTCGGAGCCTGGGTGCCTGGGTGCCTTTCGGCCTCGACTCAATTGTGAGGCATCAATCAGTCCAGGCCAGTCTACAGTACCGTAGCTTAGCATGCACATATACAACAGAAAGATCTTGCGTACAGGACTTGTTAGCTCTGTAACCAAGAAGGACTGGTTACTTTGGTTGGGGCACCCTCAACAATATTCAAATTATGACTGCCGGTGTATCATGAAGTCAGAATATCTGATGCTTGTGCACAGAGGTATATACGTATATACATATATATCCTTCTAGTATATGCTAATCCCTCCTGTGACTACCCACTGCTCTGGTATACATTATTAATTTTTAGAAGTCTAAAATCAAGCCTACACTTCAATCCAGCTTTATCCTTCACAGAGCGAATGGTGGTCAACGCAATTATGTTAGCCCATTGTAGCTGGTATCTCATTCCCATCACAAGTTTCGAGATTGAAAAGCCACTCGGGTTGTAGTACTAAAAGATCATATGACATATGTTCCAGATGTACTAACTTACGCAGATATCTTTCTTGTACTCGCATTTTGGCAAAAGAGACCTTATCTATGAAACCACCAGGAGATAAAAATTAGCCTCTTTACCCTCTATACCTTACAAAAGCCTCCAACCGACCCAAAGCCAAGTGTGTCGCATGCTAAAGCTCATCAAAAACCCCTCATATGGATGGCCTGAGGATGCGAAAATGCAGACTCAGCCAAGTAGGGGCATGGACTGGTTCTGTCTTTGCCGATGATTAAGCCTGGTCGTCGAAGCAAGGGTGAATCTGAGCAGAACGGATGCTTTGAAGTGAGCATAAGCACAAAGCCCTTGTACATTGCTGACATGGTTGTGTCCCTTTAGATGTAGGAATGCCAAGGTAGTTTTTACTTCGGACGGACGGTATGGGAATTGTCGTCTCGTAGGTCGCAGCAGAACTGTAGATGTAATTGGAGCTCTCGCTGAGACTTGATACAAAAGTGAAAGGTCTGTCGGTGCAGCTTGATTCATAGTGAAAATATCCAAACCATGGGTTCGGTTTTGTAATTTGAGAGGAAGCCATGAACCTCTGAGCGATTATCAGGATATATAATCCACGCTGACGGTCACATTGGCTTTACTGAAGACTGAGCTCAAGAAATAAGTGCTACTTGCAACCCAGACTCCCTATATGACTGATATTAGTATCTCATATTCGATCACGATCTAAACCCTAATTCACTTGAAAGACTCCAACAAGAGGATAAGGTCCGAGGTCATCACCTATAAGGTAGGCGTATTCCCAGCTACTTCCACCTCCACCAATCAGAAACCCCCGAGATCGAGACACTGTCCCGGGACATCCGCTAATCCCAAACCAGCTAGCGTCCAATTCACCTAGCTCGGGTCCGCTCCGACTCTCTCAGATGAGTAAGCGGTCTAACGGGGCAGCTTTCGCTATCAGTTTCCCCAATTCCTTCCACCATCTCTTCCTCTGCGCCGCCAATTCAGCTCCGGTTATCAGAGAGAGAAGACAAGAATTCGCTGAGAATCATATGCATCCAAAGGGTTGCTGACGCTCTCTGACTCGAGCTTCTTACGACAGAACACGGTCGCTACGTGCATTACGCGCGCCCAAAGCAAAGCCAAAAGAAAGAGAAAGAGAGCTAATCCCAGCATGTCCGCGACGTCGCCGCAAGACGTCACGGGTGGTGGTGGTGGCGTCGCGTCCCCCGCTCCGGAGTCTCCTCCGCGCAATACAGCGCAGGAGCAGTTTCCTGCTCCGAGTGTAAGCACGGAAGAGACAGCGTCAAAGAAAGAGGAAGAGGGGGCGGGACAAACACAGCGGCAAGAGGAGGATGTATCCGGTCAAGAGGCGGAAGAAGGGGAGGTAGAGGGGGAGTTGCGCCACGAGCAGGACGGCTCGGAGAAAGATGAAGGGGAGGAAAAAGAAGAAGCAGCAGCAGCAGCAGCAGCAGCAGCAGAAGACCAACAAGACACATCAGCTTCGGCGCCACCGTTACCAGACGAAGTGCCCCCACCGCTCCCCAACGAAGTGCCACCGGGCGACGACGATGGATGGGAACCCGTCTGGGATGCCAACGCCCAAGCCTACTACTTCTATAACCGCCTCACCGGGGTATCGCAGTGGGAGAATCCACGGGTACCAGATGCCGCCGCCTCCGCCTCGTCCGCCGCCGGCGCCGTTCCCCATGACGACAACGGCGACGACGGCGACGACGGCGACGAAGACGGCAGTATCCAGGAAAAGCGCGCACGCGTCCTGGGTGGCTACAACCCCGCCATCCACGGCGACTACGACCCGACGGCGCCGTACGCGCAGCAGTACGAGCGACAGGAGGAGGCGGCCGTCGCCGGCATGGACCCGAACCAGGCGTACGAGGCGGTGGGCGCCTTCAACCGGTTCACGGGCCGGTGGCAGGCGGCCTCGCAGAACCCGGAGTATCACAATGACGAGAACAAGTCCAAACGGCAGATGTATGCGTTCTTCGACGTGGACGCGGCGGCCAACAGCCATGATGGCCGCAGTCTGCGGGCGGAACGCAGCGCCAAGAAGCTTACCAAGGCGGAACTCAAGATGTTCAAGGAGAAGAGACGGGAGAAGAAGGAGGAAAAGCGCCGCGCATGGTTGAGGGATTGAGGACCTTTTCAGAAGCCGGCTTCGAGTCGGGGTTCTTTCTTTGTTGTTATTGTGTTGTGTGCTGAGATACCTTTTCCCCGTTCTTTGACCTTTTCTTTTGGCTCGTTTCGTTTTTGTGTAACTTTTAAGGTGGCTAGCTTACACTGGCGTTCTATGTACTTCACAAGATGCATAATAGAGCCACAAATGGTATATATGAATCAGTTGATTAGTGCCTTGTAGAGAGGTTAACTTGTCTTGATGAATGTGTGGGGGGTTCATGCCGTATGTATGAGTATACCGGATGAGGAGGCGGCGATACAAGATAAGATCCACCGGAATCGGGATGCCAGTCACCTGACCGGGCCTCAAAGTTCTCCCCATCAGAAGGACAATTGGGATAGCTTCACATTGTCCGGAAGAGTTGGAGCCTCTCACATACTTAATCTAAAGGTAAGCCTTGCGTTGTTTTGCTGCCTTACACCTGCTACACACTTTCCAATTCAAATCATCAATTTGTGTGCAAATCCCACCCCAAAGTGACTGGGAGGGGGAGGGGGTGTATACCGATGACAAGCAAAAAGAAAAAAAAAATTCCGAAAAGGGAAATATCAGAGGATTCCAGGCCGCAGGCCAGCATCGCCACTTTCCAGATGTATCCAGACCAAGAAAGCAGGAAGCATGGCACTTTGAGCGTCCAGCTATCAAATCCATCCACCCAATCCCTTTTTTTTTTCCTAGTCCAAACAACATCGCCCCTTCCCGCATCCCATCTGGAAATCCTATACATAAACGCGGATCAAGACTCAACCCGCTAATCAACCTCGCAGATACCCCACTACATCCATCATCCTCCCAAGCAGAGTGAAAGCTTTTTTTCTATCTCCATCAGTGAAGAAAAGAACCCAAGCCAACCAGCCTTTTTGCCCGTATTAGCCTAAAAAGCAAGGTCGACACCCCCAAAAATGGCTTCAACGATCACCCTCTCCGCCGACACGATCGACGATCTTATCTACGACGCCCGCTCCGGCGATCTGGCCGCCCTCAAGGAGGACCTGACGGCCTGCAGCGCCCAGTTCCCGGACGTCTCGCTGGGCGCCGTCGTGGCCGCCGCCATCGACGCCGCCCCGGAGGCCGAGGGAGGCAGCGGATCCAGCCTGTTGCATTTCCCGGCTGCGAATGGGAATATCGGTGCGTAGTCTTCCTCTTGCCCTCACTTCCCCCCTTTCTGGGGCTAGATCTAACCGACTGCACCAGAGATCCTCACCTACCTGCTCACCCTCCTCGCGACGGAGGAGTCGACGCGCCGCCGCATCGTCAACCACCGCAACCACTCCGGCAACACGCCGCTGCACTGGGCGGCGCTGAACACGCACCTGGACTGCGTCAAGGCGCTCGTCGAGGCCGGCGCCGACAGCTCCGTCAAGAACGACGCCGGCCTCGATCCCGTCTTCCTGGCTGAGCGCGCGGACTGGTCGACGCAGGAGGAGGGAGGTGCTGCTGCTGCTGAGGCCGAGGCGGAGGCGGAGGCGGAGGCGGAGGCGGACGCAAATGCGGCGGCTGATCCCGGGAAGATGTCCAAGGGACGGCAGGTCGTGGAGTGGATGTTGAGCGCCGAGGTGGCTGCTGCTGGTGGGGATTCGGAGACGGTGGTGGCCTCGGCTGGGGTGCCGGTTACTGGGAATGGGGATGAGTAAAAGATTTGAGAATCAGAGATTATTCCCCTTCTTCTCTCTTGTGAATTGCTTACATGGTGTTTGTATTTGATTCTTCTTTTGTATGGTTAATCCCTAGGGTCTTCTTTGTTTGGTCGTGTTGTATAGAATTCTTCGTTGGTGTATGTTTTATACAGTGGGAAAAAATGTTCATTTTGGGGACGCTGTCTATCTTATGGTTCGAAATGGGTTTCGTCTAATGTCTTGCTGACCGTAGCTTGTCATGTCATCAATGCAGGTGGGATGTGGGTAAGAGGCAAGTAGGTAGTGAATGGTCGCGCAAATCATACCAGTCAGGTTCGTTGGCTCATGGGTTCCCACTAATCTCGTCGTGTCTTGTTTCGATCCTGCGACGCACCCGACGGGCTGGATCGTGACGACGAGAGACCCGGTATCGTGCTCGTCGTGGCATCGCCATCAACAATCTCGCGCACCCGCATGTCAAGGCCGACCCGGAATCGGCGGTCCCGCCAGGTCACGGTAACCCCTCCGTAGAAAGCCCAGATCCAGATCGGCAAAGCCAGCACCTCGCGCCCCAGCCAAGCGGCCAGCCAATGCAGGAACGGACGACGGGTGACGGTGCCCTGGGGGGGCGGTCGCGCGAAGGACGGGGTATCCTCGTCGAGCTCGACGGTGCGGCCCGAGTGCAGCATGATGTAGACGAGCCAGTCCGTGAGGATCCACCCGAGCATGCTCAGCGCGAAGCACGCCCAGAAAGCGGGCCAGGTGGACAGCGCCGCCTCGGCCGCGGCGTACCCCTTCCTTCCGAGGAACTGCGCCAGCGCCGTCGTGACCCCCCACGCGCCGTAGCACGAGCACAGGATCGACTCCGTCCCGGGCTCGACCAGCGTCGCTAGCAGCACGGTGAACTTGCGCACCCGGAGCCACCGCACCCGGCGGGCCACGTACGACTGCACGCTCATGTGTGCCACGGGCTGGAAGGCCAGGTCCCCGAACACCATTGCGTGCTTGCCCCACCGCTGGCCCAGCTCCTTCTCCTCGCGCACCGGACTCTTCCACAACAGGTCCCCGATCAGGTGATCCTCGCAGATGTTGTCGGAGAAATAGTCGATGCCCGGGTTGCGGCGGCGCCGATCCGCGGCCGCGGCCGTCGTCGACGGTGCCGCCGCGGTCAGGTAGTCCAGATGCGAGCGGCGGAACATGTTGGACTTGCCCACGATGCAGGGGGCGATGAGCACGGTGTTGATGGCGGTGTACATCTTCGCATGCGACGACGACAGGAACAGCTCCTCCAGCCGGCCACCCCCGGTCGTCAGGGGCCCGGCGGCGGCGGCAGCACCAGCAGCATCATCATCACCATCATCCCAGCCGTTGGTGTAGGACTCAAGCAACGCCTCTTGCTCCCCTCTCCTCGTCTTTAGACCTTCCTCCCCCGTCACATCCACCGCGACAGGTAGATGATGAACGAACTTATACCGTTTGCCGCCTGCTGTCCCGCACAATTTATCCATCATCCGCCCACACACCCCCTTCCCCACCCAGACATTGCAATCGATAATCCAAACGATATCGCCCTTGGCTTCCCGGTACGCCCGACTCATATTCCGGATCTTCGGGTTCGGACCCAGCTCGTAAGCGGGGGGAGCAGCAGCAGCAGCAGCAGAAGCATGACCACCACCGTCCTCGGAATGAAGGAGCGGATCGTCGTCCTCAACGAAGATCCGCGCGTCGGCATGCGGGAAATCCGACACCAGTTTCTGGAGGGTCGGGTAGGCGGGGTCGGTCTTCGTGGAGATGCAGAAGTAGACAGTCAGCTTGTCGCGGGGGTAGTCCTGGCGGAAGGTCGAGGCTAGACATTCGTAGAGGTGAGGCTCGAGGCCCTTGACGGGGCGGATTGCGGTGATGTGAGGGGTGTTATTGGAGCGGGCGGAGGAGGACGTGGTGGATTTCTGGGGTCTTTGGAGGCAGTGTTTCCATCTAGTTTGCGGTGATGATTAGCTTTTGGTGTTGATGAAGTCAAAGGGTTGCAATATTCGGTGGAAGGTGTTTTTTTTTTTTTTTTTTTTTTTGTTGTTGTTGTAACGTACATCTGATAAGTGCCCAGCGAGCAGACCAGCGTCACGGTCGTATACCAGACCAAACCGACCCAGCCCGCGACGACTGGCCATTGGATGTCGCCATGGCCAGTGGCCAGTCCAAGCTCGGAGGCAAGCGAACGCAGGTGAAGCGTCAACATAGGCAGAAGCAGAAGTGGGTAGCAATGACAGAGTCATCCGACGAGGAAATCATTCTATGGAAGAGGGAAAACTGGCGAAGCGAGTGACAGCAGGCAGATGGACAGAGCACCAAACACACGTCGCGTCATTCAATCTCAATGCTGCCTCGACCAGACTGCAAGAAGGTCAGATGGCAATTCAAGAGAATTGTAGTCAGTCCAATCAGACCAAGCTGTTACCTAGCAAGCAGCTAGCTCCAGGGTAGTTGGTCAATGGCTGGCTGAGAGAGGCTGAGACTCGATGCAGTTGCCGGTTTCCATTCGGGTCTCACGGATTCCGGGTTCGGCGCGCGCGCGATGGGGAGAGTGGATTTTCCCGATCGTCGGGCGCATCTCGTCGTTTGGCGCTTGATTGTTTGTAGTTTGCGTACTGTACCCAGTGATGTCCGCTGCCCCTGTCTAATTTCAAGTTTCATAGCTGCGTATGTCCATGTTTCAGGTAAGAGAAATGCGGTGAAGTGGTTTTTATTAAGTAGTAGTATACTAATTGGCCTGTTGCCCGTTCCGTGGCTCTGATTAGTATTCAAATCCTAGGTACGGTTGAACTCGGCCTCCAGTAGTTCCCTCCAAATCCTGCTAAAGACAAATAGATAATGAAAAAAAGTGATGAAATCCCAGTATGCAGTCCCTAGAAAGGTAAAAGCGAAACGCGAAGATAGAGAAAGAAAAAAAAAAGAAAGAACAACCCAGGCTGACTATCCCGATATCCCCAATCCTACTGTACAGTGCACAATGCCCGTGCTTTATCGACCATCCTTGCTGCTCATAGTACTGTGCAAAACCATACGCCGAGCAAGCGAATCACTCCGAAGTTACGTCTTCTTCTTCTTGCGAATCAAATTAGCTTGTAGAACATTGACCCCGGAAGTTGACTCGGGTGTAGGAGTGGACGCTGTTGCATCTGCCGGCGGTGCATTGGCGTCTGTCGCGGGCTCCTCGGCGGTCTTCTCAATGCCTTCAGTTTTGGCGGGTTCATCTCCGACCTTCTTGCGTTTTCGGACCAGTGTGCTGCTGATGAGAGTGTTGACCTCCGTAGTCTGCTGGGAAGGATTGTCGGTGCTGCCTCGGCCCAGGACCTGTTGCCCGACCCAGAGTTGGTCAGCAAGTGAGGCAATCTTCTGCCCCCAGGCTCTTGTACTGGCGATAGAGACCTCCTGGTTGAAGAAGTCCTGCTCAATCAAGAAGTCAATCGCCGCCTTGTAGTCGGCTTCGCTGAGCACAGCGTGGCCACGCCCTGCCTCCGGCCAGAAGAAAGCACTGGCGGCTGTGGTGCGTTGTGCCGTGGACTCGGATACGGACAGGGACTCAGCAGTGGGTTGGGGGGCTGCGGCATCGATCGGCTGTGCGACACTCGGGCCTTCTGAGGCTTCAGGTTGCTCCAACGAGTCAGACTTAGAATCATTGGATTGTAGCTCAGGTACTGTAATCGGCGCACGGGCTCCGGCATGTCTAGCATCACACGAGAGGGTCTTACGGTCACCGAGGACAGACCGGGAGCTGGTCATCTGGACCGAATTGACCAGCCCCGGCGGGTTGATGACAAGCCACAGGAACCCGACCAATCGTCCCGAAGAGCACTCCTGGCGGAAAGACATCATCTCCCAGAACTGATCCAGGGACTTGACGCTCCGCCACTGACCAAGCGCCACCGAGGAGGACTTCCCGTTGTCCCCGGACTGCGGGGGAAGCTCATCGTCCAGGTCAATCAGAAATCGCGTTTTCGGGTCATCGGGGAAGCGGGGGACCAGACAGCGCGGCGGCGCCTTGGGGTCGTCACAGAGCTGATGCAGAGGATAGCTGTTGCGCCATCTGGGGCGTTCCTGGCTGTCCAGCCGGGCGGCACTGGGGAAGAAGCCCCGGGTTTCGAACTTGTCACACCCGGGGACTATCAGGAAGGCCGTGGCCGAGCTCTGCGCCGACTCCGTCTGTCGGTCCAGGGCGTTCTTCTCGTGCGAGCCGGACTCCGGCTCGTACTCGCGGAGAATCGGGTCGAACACGCGGCACCACCATTTGATCAACCCCCGGTCGTCGAGGACATGCTTGCCCGCGTTCTCGATGCTGCCGGGGAACAGGTACTGGTTCTGCGCGCGCGCGAACAGGGACACCACGAGGCGGACCCCCGGTCGCTGATGCGTGCGGACCAGGAAGGAGAGAAAGGTCTGCGAAATGCGCCGGAGCAGGGAGACCTTCGGGGCGTCCTGGAGTAGATGTAAGAACCCGGTCGAGTCGGCCTTGGAGACGAAAATCGTCGTCAGGTGCGCGGTGCTGTAGATCAACACCTCCACCCCCAACACAATAATCTCGACGCCATCTTTCCCCTCCGCATCCACCGATGCAGTCAGAAAATGATTCTCGCAGAAGGTCGGCTCGGAGGTTTCGCCCGGGGGTGCGGCGAAGAGCGCAGGGCAGGGAGTGGGAGTCGAGGAGACATGGCGAATGGTAATCCTGACACCGGCGGGCAACACCTCGGCCAAGAGATCGCCTAATTCCACGTCGACCTGAGACATGGCTGGCCTGGAAAAGACCCTCGAGATGGCCAATTCAACACAAGATGTCCCAGGTATGAATTTGGAGAGAATTGCCCCGTCGGGTCTCTCTCCTGCGATATCCTTTCTCCTGGTCTTTTTTCGACCCTCTCAGACGCGTTCCATTTCACGGGCGCATCACGTGCCCGGAATCTGACTCTTTTCGTCTGCTGCTGTCAGCACTTTATCCCTCGCTTATCTCCAGAAGGAATTTGATGGAATTTATCAGGTTCAAGCAAAGTCGTTTTACTGAGAGAAAAGGTGAGAATTGAGTTGCATGAGTACTTATTTTGCCTTGCACAGCGGGAGGCAGCTCCCACAAACAGGAAAGATCTCGCAAAATGCATAGACGGACGGAACTGGATAAATCCAAGTAATATTGAGACTCCCAAATTTCAAGAAGGACGTCCAAAAAGCTATCCATCCTTGCCTATCTATACACACCAAGAAGACTTAGAAGTAGCCCGCCACCGCCTCTAGATCGTCGGCGTTCAGCAACGCAACCCCCTCCTCGAGCAAAGTCCTCCAGATATTGTTGCGAGTACGGATCGGATAGTAAGGGGTACCCCAGTATCGCGCTCCGATTCCTCTCTTCTTCGCGGCTGCGATTTGCGCGCGGATGGCCTGGGTTTGAGTCTCATCCAACTCACCATGAGAAAGAGGACCCACGGCCGCCACGAAATTGGTGGACGCAATCGGGGAAATTAGACCGGTTACATCGGCGAATTGACCCTCGCCGAGCTGGTCAAGGGGTGCATCGAAGAAATAGTCTCTGTTTGCCACCGGTCCGACCAGATCCAGCGGCGTGTTACCGGTGCCTATCACTGTGACCGGTCCTTCGGTGATAGTCGCATTGTCTTTTAGAGTGGTCAAGTAGCCACGAGCACGGAGTGGCTCCAGGGCCTTGACAACCGCATCCAAGGTTTCAGGTCCGGAGGTCTTCAGATCAATGAAAAAGTAAAGCGTTTGTGAGGTGTCAGTGTCGAAGACACCGCTTGCAGGAGTCAGCGCAGGCCAATGCTGATGAACCATTGATCACGGAGTAATCAAGCGATAAATAGGGGATCTTACTTTTTCGTGGGCGACGTCACAAATCGAGACGTGGGATTCTGGCGTTGAAGCACGTCCAAAATAGGGTTGATGTAGAGCGACTCTAGTGTTCGCTTTTCAGTCAGGGAAGACTCATCGTGGCCGACCTATCCCTGTCAGCATCGGCCCAACAATGAAACGCCCTAGGGGACAGACATAGAGGGTGCCATTATACAGCCACACATCGGCTTCAGTCGATATGCATCCTTGCGATAGGCCTACGGATATAAGTCACTAAAGTGCCATAGACAGGATCATTGAAGACCATCCATACATACCCGAATAGAAAGGAATATCTCTCCAGTAGTCACTGGCACGAGGTCAGACGTCGTACCTGCTTGGAGAATCGTCGATGCTGGCTTACTTGTGTGAATGGACTGGGATCTGTAGCCCGGTTAGAGTTGCCTTTCATGACGCCTTTCGCAGTGCAAACCCAAGCTTAGTATTGAACATAGAAATCCAGGAGAACTTACAGGCATCACCCCTCTGGTGAAATCGGTGGGATACCCATACTCGTTGCTCATGTGGGTGTTCTTCAGCACGCTCTGTAGTTCCGTCACCGCGCCTGCGGCCTCCGTCGGAGAGCCAAGGAGGAATGCGGAGGCCGCAGCAAGCAGCGATCGGGAAAGAACCATTGTATAAATCGAGAGCTTTCTTCCAAAATAAAAGTACTTGTGGCAGTATCCAAACAGATGGAGGAGCAAAACAGTCTATCTAGAATAGAAAACTATTGAACAGACAAGGAACGGAGGCTGGCGTTCGGTCCCGTCGGAATTGTTGTTGATCACAGAAGCTGGGGACAACTCGGAGAAGCGCAAACGGCCAATCGCAGCCTCACGTGGTGGTCCAGCCCTCATTATTATATCAGCCATCAGACAGCGCATAACATCCATCCCAAAGCTCGGAAAGTAGGCGCTTATAAGCTTTACTATCTATTATATGAAGAACTAATCGGTAAAGAAAATGATCAACAGGTTTAAAAATGCTTCGAAGGCCAACACGCGTGTAAAGAATTAAGCCAATCGTGCAAACGCTAATCAGGTATCATCTAAACCATAGAGTTCATCAATATAACGAAAAGGAAGCTAATGCATCTAAGCGAATCAAGGGATCCTCCCATTACGACCAATTGACTGTGAATATCCAGCGGAGCTTTGAAGTCGTCCCTCAGACCTCGCGAATCGAAGGTGGCCGAGAGTTGCTTTGAGAATCTTGCGTACTACTGCGTCGGAGACTCAGATTGCCAATGCGCTGCACCAGATTGCTACCCACTGCATCGACAGCACCCTTTGGCGCCAACAGAGTAGGTCCTTGCGCGGCCGCCTCTTGTACCTTGAATAGCTTCACTCCGGTGCCATTCCACACTCCAACAGTGCCAGGTGTAGCACCTGACGCGGACCCAACAACCATTTCGCTCGAGAAGATGAATCCCCAGAGCAAAGATTCATACCAACCCATGGAAAGGGCCGACCATTCGAACGAATGGACACGAACGGGCGAGGGCTCCGAGACGATAACCTGAATCATTGGCTCCTCCACAAAAGTAGGGAGGTTAGTGATCAGCGTGCGTGCTTCTGGGCTGGAGGCAGACTGAAAAGCTGAGTCAGGCACGCGGGGCATGATGGCTGAAATGATGGTGAGAATCGTGTGTAACGGCAGCTCAGGCAACCAGGATTCAAGCTATGAGTTTCCAGTCAGCAAATAGCACGCTCCATGAAAGTGGGATCTTACTTACCCAGGTAGTAGTCGGTGTAAATCCACTCGAGGATACCAGGAAGGCTGCCGATATACTGCTCTGGCTAGTCATGC